GTGAGTGCATTCAAAAGTTCCATCGGAACGCCAAACCTGGTGAAGCCTTAGAAGAAATTGTTGAGGTCCTGCTTTCAATGCTTTTTTCAGATTTTCGGCCCCGATGAACGCCCATTTGTTGTCTTTGAAGTCATCGACAGAGGCGGTGAAGATGTTCAATACAGCCAATACACTGACATTGGCAGGTAATAGACGGTAGTAGATAATTGTTTGGAACAGCGAGATACACATTAGATTTGAGGCGAATGTATAAATGCTCGTCGTTCGGTTAGGTGATGGGCTAGGGGTAAGTGGTGAGGAGGATGGAGATGGCCATTTTATAACTTTTTCTATTATAAATTCAGAAGGGTCCTTGAAGGTATTCCTGTCATATAAACTATTAAGTTGGCGTATCCTCAAAATGTGACGTCATCTGCCTTCACCATCAAGCTCAATTTGTGTGTACGGGGAAGCGGAGGTCAAAAAAGAGTTACTTCGCCTATGGCACGCGTCATCAAACGTTTCGTCGCACAGGATGCCGCTGTTGATGAAGGTACACCAAAATTTACCAGAGATCCCCCAATAAGTAGAAGCAGGCCCTTCTTCGCAACCCTCACCGTTCTTAAAATATGACGTCACCTGCCCTCACCGTTGAGCTCAATCCCACGATCCGTCCAGGTACCTCGTTAAGTTCAAATCGCGCACCACGTTCCCGTGGGAAATTTTTCTGAAGTTGTCGAAGTGGAAGACTTTCATGAAGTGTTTCAATGGATTGAAATGCGATCTTCAACTTTAAGTATATCTTATCCCATGAACAAATTTCTCCACTGCAACTAGGTATTACTACCTAAGATTCAGGGTTTTTCTAGGCTCAAGGCATTTTGCTATCTAGGAAGGGGTCGAAGTAAAGTATACTCGGAGAGCAGACCTTGAAAAGCTAAGGAAAATCTGAAAACGTTAAGGACGCAAGAATGGACGAATTCTTCTAGAGCAAAACATGCACAAATCTCCCTGACCATCAAATTATTTTCAGAGTCACGAACTTCAACTATGGCGGTCCAGTTTCAGCGGCTGCTACAGGCAGCAAAGACTGGAGGTTAGCTTTTAACCCATCGTCACGAGCTTGTTCGCGCGAACCTCCATGGGTGTTTTTATAGCTGAGTCGCGACTTATGGGTTTTCCTGGGCAATATGAAAAGGGATCGATATGACGCTTTCAAATCGGGAGTTGGCAGCACGTTGCCTGACTTTATCCAGTGAAACAGAATATAGTAGCTAATTTTGTATACAAAAATGGCCAACGTCTATTCTGTAACCCGCCAACTTGGTGTGTCGGGGAGGGAGCAAAAGGGGAACAATCACAATTGAGAATGAACTCGAAGTCACTGCTGAGGTGTCATTCTAAGGCGATGTTGCGTTTAGCCACTCCAACAGATATGTATATATGTATCAAAGACAAAAATCCACTTCTATGCTGGTGTAGGCATTGCACCACAAACTATTGTGCTATCGCCGATCCGTTTCAGAGGCACACCCCACGATAAGTTAGATCAATTGCTTCGGGAGGTAGGATAGGGTAGTCAACCAAAGTGGCAAATGTCCTGTTCACTCGCCTTGAAAATGTACGACCGCGGAAGGATTTGGCGAAGGAAACTTCCCCTACCGTAGTCGTGTCCGTGTACCTGTGTAAGTCGCGTACCTAAATTCCCACCTCTGATTAGCCTAACCCCATAGGAGGTGCGACATTGGCAAGACGGGGTTGACCCTGAATACAGCTCTGCTGCGGAGGCACTCTTTGAATGGTTTCCTACCCAATCCAGTACGGGTCCTTTATAGCGAACTTGCCTTTGAAATACATCGAAGACGAACTAGAAGTGTTGAGCTATTTTTTCAGGGAACTCTCCAATTTTGGACAAGGATATCACTATGGGAATGCAGAAGACCATGATGTGTTGAATTTTATTGACAACCACGACGTTCAAAGAGATTCGAATCCAGAAGTGGTTAGTTTACAGATTCATGATTGTTCTGATTTTTTATCTGTCCACAGGAGCTTCACCATTGTCTGAATTTCGACCTGCGGCTAGGATGGGTAGGCGGAAGTGGTGTAGTGGCAAGTGGCACGCTTACCACGCGAGCGGTCCGGGGATCAAATCCTGGGTCCGGGCCAACCAAGCCTTCCATCCCTCCGGGGTCGGTTAATTGGTACCAGACTTGTCTGGGAGGATAAAAACACTGACTTGTACATCGGCTGGCCCCCGCAAGTCATTGTATAGGCCACATCGCATTCAAACGCCACTACGAATGTACAAATGGAAGTAGAATGCGTGCCGCATCCCAAAAAGGGATTGATCAACGGCAAATGCTTTATCCTTAAAGGCAAGATTCAAGCTTAAACTGATGAGGTAATTCTACTCAAATGTGATGTGGGAGTGGGAGGTGGACCGCCAGTG